ATTAAAATAAAAATATTTTCTTTCGAAAATATATAAAGGTTTTATATATAACCAATATTTTTGTGACAACTTTTCCATTAATTTTTAGAAAATAACACAATGCAACCATTTTCCGGTTAAAAGTCGGCCATCTTGGTTTGTCAAGAGAAACTCAACCCCGAACTCCCCTTGACGTTTCTACAGTGGTACCTCTCAGCTGTGGCTTTGTTTACATAACATCAGCTGATAGTGACTCTACTCCTCCTCTACCGTGGGTTATATGAACGTACTCAGTCAGAGGGACAAGAATGTATATATGGTGGATAGCGAATAAAATATAGTGCGCACTATATTTGATATTGTTTTCTTTTTATATTAGAGCTGACTTAATTAACTTTATCTGGAAAATTATGAAGTCAATGAGCCTTCAAGAGCGACATAATTATATTTTAAAAAAATTCATTATATCTGATAAATCTTTCGAAGGCAAGAAAAATTCTTATGACATAGATATAATAAAGGAACATCATCGATTTTTATGGGAAGACAACGAATTAAGTGATGGTGAAAATTCATGGGAAATGTGTATGGCTAGACGTTACTATAACAAATTATTTAAGGTAATAAAATACATACAAAATAAAACGTTCGGAAAACTATACGATTTTTTAATGTTTGAAGGAATATTGCATAGCAGATTTAACTCTTCACAAGGAAAATAAAGTTGCATTGCGTTGGCGTACGAGGGATGAAGTAGTTTTAGGAAAAGGGCAGTTTCAATGTGGGAGTAGGAAATGTGAACAACGAGAAAATTTGAGCAGTTGGGAAGTAAATTTTGCTTATAACGAGCAAGGAGAGAATAAAAATGCGTTAGTGAAGTTGCGACTATGTGAGAATCATTCGAAGCAGTTGAATTTCACTTCACGAAAACGGGAAGTTAAGCGCTTAAAAAAGTTTTCTGCTACAAAGGGGCAAACGCAGCGAAAAAATCAACGAAATTCTCCAGTAGCAAGCTGTTTTGAAAATATTGTATCCGAAACAAATGAAGAAAGTGAACCCGAGAGCAGGATATGGAACCGCAGACTAAATGTAGAACTAGAGCAACCATCTCGTGAAATTGAATTTGAACGCTATTTAGAAGATCTTCTTTTATAGTTTATGATAACCCCTGTCTATTGATTAATTTTATAATATAATATTAATTCATGAAATATCTTAACTGCACCTTATGAATATTGATAAAACTATTATTTTGCCAGTCTCTGATAGGAATGGAAGGGCCAATAATGCACATTTATCACACATTTAAAGTAACTACAAATATGTAGGTATGCTAAGTGCATAAAATTGATAATCCAAATTTGTGTATATAAACTTTTTATTATATTAACAAAAACGGTCCAAAATATATTGGCAATTATAATTCAAATGTATATACAGTATTCTTAAAAGCTTGAATCAGCAACAAAAGGTTTCTAATAAAATTATATGGTCTTCAATGCATTCTTTACAATAGGTCTTTAAATATGTTTTTTTGCCTAGTGCGCAAAGTTATGCACAAGGGATTAAAAACGGTCTTGTGAAAAGAAAAATTATTCTCTGATGCATTATTTATAATCGTTCTCAAATTGCGTTCTATTTGCATTTTTATTATTTTGTATCATTGTTTTATATTGGCAATTTTTTTGCATCTATGTTTATAACCCTTACCAAACCAAGGCCATAATTTGTATTAAAAAAAAAAACTGTGTTTAGAACGTTTGCACACTAAGTCAAAAACGTTGTGGTATTAATAGTATTTTACTGTTTTTAAATATATTAAATTAATGACGGAAGCGTTTACAATTGTTTTAAGTTTTATAAAGTTGCTTGAAGCTAAATAAATTGTTTAAGTACATATATTAATAACTGCATGCTGCATGAACATTTAAATATCACTTTTGCACTTTGCAAGAACTTTGGCAAAGGCTTGTGGTGGTTTGAAGCTTAATACTTCTGTAAATACAAGTTCTTTCCACTTTTCAACTGGCAAATCCATATCTTCGAAGCTTTGATCATACAACGGAGAGGTTTGCTCATCACTAGGGTCATGATATTTTTCCATATATGGGTGAGCTAGAGCTTGTTCAGCTGTAATTCGTTTTTCGGCATCCAACTCTAGCATTTTTTCTAGTAAATCTATTGCCGATGGATTAGCAAAACGGAATACGTCTCGAAAGTTTCGACGAGACATTCTTGGCAACGCTCGTATATAGTTTCGAGCACTTTCTGAGGAAATTTTTTGCATAAAATCTTCTGTGGGAGTACCAAGAACTTCCATAATTAAATTAAGTTGATGTATATGATCAGTGCCAGGAAATAAGGTACGCCCTGTAAGAAGCTCTGCCATAATACAACCAACTGACCAAATGTCTACAGTTTGATTATAGTGCATCCAGTTGAGCATTATTTCAGGAGCTCGATACCATCTAGTGGCCACATAACCCGTCATTTCACTTTCTGCAGGCCTTGCTAAGCCAAAATCAAGTATACGCAACTCACAATCTTCATTTACGGCAATATTTGAAGGCTTTAAATCACGATGTATTATACCAGCACTATGAATATATTTTAAACCACGCAAAATTTGATACACCAAAAATTGGACATGATCATCAGAAAGTTTTTGGGTGCGGATTATATTGTTTAAATCAGCATCCATTAAATGTGTTACTAAATATACTTGTTCAAAATTTTCCAAAGAATTCGGAGGCTGTCCGGAATGAAATACATCCAATAAGCCTATGACATTCTCATGATCCATATGTTTGAGCAATCGCAATTCGCGATAAGTTCGTTTTGCATGAACAGCCGACTGAAATGGACGTGCTAATTTCTTTATGGCCACCTTCATGCCTGTGTTATGGACAATTGCTTTACATACTTGTCCATATGCGCCAGAACCGACTGCTTGAAGTTGCTGATATATTTGAGGTATTTCCCACTCTGTTCGATTTATATCAAGCTTATAAAATTTAGCCATCTTCAAACGTGATATGTGACAATTCGTCGTTTCTATTGCTTTCCATTAATTCAATCTCACGAATTACCTAATATGCGATGCACACTACATATGAAATGGAAATGAAACAGACACATACAAAGGAAACAAAACTACCTGCGAATACACTGTGGTACAATCAGAAAAAGTGAGTGAGACAAATGGGGAAAATTTTAGAATATCATCCCCCCGATTTCGGGATTGAAGTGGGTATGTACAGATAAAAGAGGCCCTCCAGGTAAAGGAAAAAGTTTCCCACAACTCTCACAAACTTTCTTCAAATGGTATCTTCTTTCTCTATAATATTAAACTTTAATCTAAAGATTTTTGAGATCAGTTTGTTACTAAAGCATTTTATACAATGTTGGGTAGACCTATATTGGAATATGGCTTGTGGTATTACACCCTGGTTACCAAATTCATTCATATAACTTACAGCCCTATTCTGAGAAGTTTTGTTGTGAAATTAATCTTGCTCAATCCTCTCAAGAAAGAATCACAAAAAACTCACCATAAGGAGAAAAGCTGTAAATCAGCGGTTGTACAAAAACAAACAAGACAAAATAAAGAATTGGACAACCAACCACGTTTGAAGAAAAGAGACGTACGATTTTTCAATATTTCTGTTTGTTATTATCTTTGTTTTTTAATATATCGAAGTTATGTGTGGAACACAATGATCGCGACAGACTGCAGTAGCACGACAGTGAACTGAAAACGGCGTCGTGAATCCTACTACAAGAACGTTTGTGAGAGGGCAGCAACATAACAATGGTCGGCATGTACACAAAACAACTCAGTTGTCCATTTTGCTTGTACACAATTTCGTTGTGGCCATACTAATACCTTGCACTTCAATGAAATTTTAATATTTTGTTCAAAGTGAAATTTTTAAGCAAAAAATAAGTAAATAGGTAAATTTATTTCTTTTAAATTATCAATTGTTATTATAAATGATGTAGCAGAGCTATTTTATGCTTTTATTTGTAAAAT